GCATGCTCCATTTCATTAGGAAGAAGATTTAGGGAACCTGGCATGTGGCTTCTATTTTTAGTCATTTCTAGTGTTTATTTTTCGCTGTTTTAGAGTCTTTGAACTTCCTAGAAAGGCCTTGTTTTTCCCTCCACTCCCCAAAGAGGCTCACATGAATGGCAATGGCATAAATTTGATCGGCTCCATCATTAAATCCGATCATTGATTGGCTCCTCATCCTCATCAAAAAACTAGGCGACTGTGGCATCGATGCCTACACAGTCAGATGATTGCAAATTGGCTGAAGGGTCATACTCGGAGGGTGGTGGTGGACGGGTCATATTCGACCTGGGGGGAAGTGGGCAGCGGAGTCCCCCAGGGCTCGGTCCTTGGGCCCGCACTGTTCAATTTCTTTATCAGCGATTTGGACAACGGGGTGAAAAGCAACCTGTTCAAATTTGCTGATGATACCAAAATCTGGGGTGAGGTGGGCACGTTAGCAGGGAGGGAAAGACTGCAGAAAGACCTGGATAGGTTGCAGGGGTGGGCTAACAAAAACAGGATGCGTTTCAATACGGACAAGTGCAGGGTGCTGCACTTGGGCAGTACTAACCAGCAGCACACTTATAGGATGGGAAACTTCCTTCTTGAGAGCACGGAGGCAGAAAGGGATCTTGGAGTCATCATTGACTCCAAGATGAACATGGGCCGACAGTGCGAGGTCACGGTCGGCAGGGCTAACTAGACCCTATCGTGCATCCACAGGTGCATCTCAAGTAGGGCCAAGGAGGTGATCCTCCCCCTCTATGTGACACTGGTCAGGCCACAGCTGGAGTACTCTGTCCAGTTCTGGGCACCCCGCTTCAAGAGGGATGTGGACAACATTGAGAGGGTCCAGAGGAGGGCCACCCGCATGATCTGGGGCAGCAGGGTAGGTCCTACACTGAGAGGCTACGGGACCTGAACCTGTTCAGCCTTCACAAGAGAAGGCTAAGGGGGGACCTGGTGACTGTCTATAAACTCACTAGGGGGGACCAGAAGGGTTTGGGGGAGACCGTTTCCCCTAGCACCCCCCGGGATAACAAGGAATAACGGCCACAAGTTGTTGGAGAGTAGGTTTAGATAAGACATTCTGTAAGAACTAAGAACCTTTGATGCCTGTTTTACTCACTCAGCAACTATGCTGAGGGACCCTGACCTGCCTGTGCTCAGTCAGGCTGGGCTTGGAGATCCCTTTGCAAAAGGAGGTTGGATGAACAAAACAGGAAAGAGGAAACCTAAGGAAAAGTGCTGGTAGGGAGATTAAAAGGGGGTGGGGTAAGGGTAAGCACTGCAAAGCCATGAGCCGGATCCCCCTGCTGCTTGCTGCTCTAGGCGAAGTCCTATACCCTCCTGCCCTTCCTTTCCCCACCAATGGCCCAGACAGTGCTGGTGTCATTTCTTGCAAACTGCCTGCATGAAAGCCAGCAGGGAATGGGTGGTAGCTGGGCTTTTGGGCACATGTTGCTCCAGGGAAAGCCCTATCCTCCTCCACCTGACCAGCACAACTGTTGTGATGAAGGAACACATTTCTGGCATTGGAGTCAGCAGGGAATGGGTAAGTGGTGTGCAGCCCTGGCAGCTAGGGCAGGTAAGGAAAGTCCCATCTTCTCTTTCCCATCCCCTCCATGTGCCTAGGACAGGATCCTGGGAACCAGGGCACTGCACTGCACTGGGGAAAGTCCCATTCTCTCTTCCCCTCTCCCCTCCACTTGGCCAGCTTGAACAGCTGCTACCATGTAGGCAGAAAACTACACCAAAGCCAGGGCTCCCAGAGTCCAGGGCACATACTGCTTTGGGGGAAAGTCCTATCCCCTCTTCCAGTGGTTCCCAATCTGTGGTACGGGTACCACCTGTGGTATGCAGACAACCTGTCTGTGGTACATGTTAAGAGATTTATTATAATTACTTTATACGACAAAAAAATTGTGGGCGGTACTTAAGGTTGTATTGTTTTAAATTGGTGGTGTGCAATCTGTCCGAGTTTGGGAACCGCTGCGGGCCTCTTCCCTTAACCTGGTCAGCACAGCTACTTCAGTGAAGGAGCAACTTGCTGGTACCAGAGCCAGAAGGGAATGGGTTAACTGGTGTGGGCTTAGGTGCCTGCCCATTCATCTCTATCCCTTCCCCTCCCCTTGGCTAACAAGGCTGCTGCAATGAGGGAGAAAACTGCCTAGCAGGGAATGATTAAGCAGCACCTTGTCCTGAGCCATGCTCTTCAGAATTTGGCTTTTTCATGTGCATGGCCGCCTGGGCTCCACCCCCAACCTCCCTGCAGCAGCACAAAGAACAGCAACAGTGAAAGACCTGGGTTGTCCTTAAAGGCTCACTTTAAGGCTTCCCAGAGCCATATGTGTCTGCAGCTTCTTCACTATGCTCCTGCCAAAAAGATGATAGAAAATTAGGGTGGGAAGGGACCTCTGGAGGTCATCTAGTCCAACCCCTTGCTCAAAGCAGGACCACCCCCAAATAGATCATCCCAGCCAAAGCTCTGTCTAGTCGGGTCTTGAAAACCTCCAAGGATGGAGAGTCCACAACCTCTCAGGATAATCTGTTCCAGTGCTTCACCACCCTCCTAGTGAGAAAGTTTTTCCTAATATCCAACCCAAACTACCCTTGCTGCAACTTGGGACTGTTGCTCCTTGTTCTGTCATCTGCCACCAATAAGAACAGTTTAACAGTCTAGCTGTGCTTGTTGCAGTCCCACACCTTACAGATCTTCCTCACTTGTGTTGCTACTTACTGCTCTTGAGGCAAGGATTTTTTGTGATACGTTTACTGGACCAGCTGTATAGTTGCATAGTTTTTACTTAATATATAATATAACAAAATCCTGCATAATTCAGTAAAATTATATTTGTTTTTGCTTCAGTCTCAAGCTGAATAATACTGATGCACCATACTATCTGCAAGCCCCTTTTCAAAATCCTAGATCCGCCCAGGCAAGGCTTTCAGGAATGAAGTAATTGGAATACCTTGATTTCTGTAGCCAGTTGAGATATCTGAAAGGGGCCTGGTTTTCAGAAAGCGTTGCACACCCTGTCCTTTATGGTGGTAGTCAGCAGTCTTTTAAGGATGCAGGCTGGATAGACTGGATTAAGGTCAGAGGTGATGGGCAGGTGAGTGGGTGCTGGGACCCTACCGCATAAGTCACTTTTCTCATGGCAGCACAAGGAAAGCACCTGCAACTCATGCTTTTCCCCATGGCAGCATAGGAAGGTAACTGCTGCCCAAGCCCCCTGCCACCAAATGCCATTGAAGCCCTATGTCTGTAAGCAAGGTTCAGATGGCCTCAAAGGCCAAATCTGGCCCTGCCAAAGTGGTATTCCACTTTGGGCTATCAAAACAGAGGCTCTCACAATTGCTAGGCATATTTACTCAAATTACTACCGTACTTACTCAAATAGAAGATGACCCTGATTATAAGACAACCCCCACAATAATTAGATTCTATATATGGAAAATTTAAAAACTTGTTATAATTTTCTAGGTATAGTATCTAATTATTGAAGGTTTACCTTGAATTTCTCACCCTCCCACTACTACAGCAGGGAAAATAAATCTGGGGGTTAGGTAGCCCTTTTGCTTTCTACTTCCCTCCAATTTTTTCCCCTTGCTAGCCCCTTCCCCCTCTTTTTACTGTCATACTCTGCTGCCCCCAAGCACATAGAAATGAAGAGCAAATTTAAAAACAGTAACCTTGAAATTAAACATAGCTGTAGCAATTTGCATATAGCACCCATGTACTTTGTTCATCCAGAATTGATACATATTGCCATTTTATGAAACTGCTACAAGTTTTAGCACAGGTACTCCGTAAACACAATTTTGAGCAGCACTTTGGTATCCAATACAAACTGCATATGATATTAGTCCAAAGCCAAAAGCTGGTGATTTTTCACACAGTTCACTGTGCTGGGCCCCAGCAGTCAACAGCATTTCAAGCCATGGTGACTCCATAGCTCAGCACTGTTCAGTATGTGTATACTCCAGATACCCCTGACAAAGAAACCATATGCTAATTCGCCCCTGCTCATGCTGGGAACCACGCGTTCTTGTGAAGAGAGCCAGGATGCTCCAAAAATGTATATGCAGAAGAGGCACAAGGCAACCTGGTCTGGCTTCACCTCATGGAGGGCAGAACCACACTAATCGTATGTGGCAGACTGAGAGAGGGGGCAACAGAGAGATTTGGGGTGATTGTCCGGGCCCCATTTTGTGATGTTTGCCAGGCATTTAAGGCTCATGAAGAAACATTGTTAATGAGAAAGAAAGACACAGCTCAGCAGTAGCAGTGAAGAGGAAGTCAAAATGTATACAATGTCATGGCTCAACATGACTTGAAAAAGAGTCAGTGGTCAAGGGGACTGAGCTTAATGGGTACTACCAGATGTCTTATACAGGTGGGCTTCACTAGCCTATCCTTATGGTAGGTTTGCATTTGCATGCTTGCCTAGTGTAGGCCAGGTGTTTTATAGTTATGCTTAGTGTTGGCTGCATTTAATCAATTTCATAGTTGGTTTTCATTGCTGACCACATACTGCCTTTGGCAGCAGTTTAATGATAGACAATGAGATTTCTGTGTATACATTTATGACGGGGCTTTTTTCCCCCTTTGCCAATTGTGGGGGAAAACCTGGTCTTGTATTCGAGTAAATACAGCATCTCAGTCTAGTTCACATACACACCATGTATGTCTTAGGGACTCACTATCTTACTGCGAAAAAACTGCACTTGATGTAGGCAAGTATAAGTCCACTGCAATCCCTAGGCCATATAGCATATGTGTCGCCTGCCCATGCATCTCTATCCTACAAACACACAACAGCAAGGTGCTAAAATCATCAAGCGTTTACCTAAAATAATAAAACTCAAAGCAACAAGTGTTCAAGAGAGCTTCTGCTTAGGGGTGGAGAGTCACTGGATGATCAGAGAGGTTTCTTCCCACCTCTGACTTGTATAATGCAATTGGAAACACTCACCCACAGCTGGTTTCTAATAAGCTGTCCCCAACCTGCAGTGATGCCATTCCGAAGTCTGCTATCCGGATATTGTTCTTTTCATCCAACAGTAAGTTTTCTGGTTTTAAGTCCCTGTGGCTGTGGAAAAAGAATTGGAACAAGGTTTAAAACATCCAGATCTCCTCTACAATTTGTCCTATAACCCATGTCCTCTACTGCAGTTTATTTCAGTTGACTTCACTTTTCTCCCTCCTGGGACAGAGAATGCACAACAGGGGATGTCTTTGGGATGTTCAGAGCATTTCCCATTGCCGTTCTTGACTCTTATATGGCTTAAACCTTTAATGCCCTGACATCAACAGAAACTGAGGGTTCTCACTGGGAATGGGGTTTCATCTGGCTTTTATGTTTGGGATGTCATGTACTAGCTCGATGAAGCAGGAGAGAAGCTACAATATATTTTATTAATGGCAGAAAACACAGTGAATGACATTCCAGAAGACAAAAAATGCTGTATGCATTACCTCCCTGCCAAATAAGCTTCATCCCTGCCAAATAAGCTTCATCCAAGGAGTGATGTATATAGACATGTGCCACAGAGCCATATCTTGGATATTACGAAGGATATCAATATCTTTGATCAAGGGTCTAAATAACAATTCCTGATTAATCATCCTTTACTTTCCTATGCCAAGGCCATCATGGACCTAATGCCTTCCCTTCGTGTTAGCACAAGTGCCATTAAACCGTTCTTAAACAACAAGCTTCATTAAGAAACAAACCACCAAGAGAGAGAATCCATAAAATATGGGTCAAAATTTGTGGAGTTTTTCCAGTTTTGTCATTTTTTAAAATTATTCTCGAGTCACTAAGAGGGCAGATGTCTCATAAAAACCAAGACAAGTTTTAAATGGAACTTCTCTTGCATCCCTTGGTGCCTATGCAGCTCAGTGAGGTGTGGCACGCACCTACACCACAAGTGGCTGGAGAGTCTGCAGTCCCTAGCTGCTTAGAAGTTGAACAGCCCTGGGTTACAAGTCTCCTGTTTTAGCACTAGGGTATGGTGATAAGAGAATGTTTTGCAAACTAAGTGCTGATGCCTTGATGCAATGTAACTAAAAAGCTCTTAAATGTCCAGGCAATCTATGTATGGGTCTACACCGCACCCTCGGCATGCCCCCAGCAGGGATGCTCCCGCATATGCTCCATTCACTTGCTCCTGCTTGCACACAGTCAACCTAGAAATGAAAGTGAAGTCACTCTGGGGTCATCTTCCCCAGAGATTTATCTCAGTGGATTGTTTTTCAGCGCTAATGATATACTACTGAGGTTGGAGGCATTACTTTGTGATAATCTGTGTGTTAGGTTGCCCAGGAAAGTGATTAATTTAAGGCACTGGTTACTGCCTGGAACACTAATGCTGCTGATTAGAGTCAGATTAGAGCCATTCCCCACAATCTGGTGATCCATACTAAACTCCACTCCCTAGAACCTCCCTACCACAAACCATAGCTTCATAGCTTTGGTTCCTTCATAGCTTTGGCAATAGATTCAATTTTTGATCTACAGAAAAGTTTGAGTCTTAACATCCCTTTGAAGCAGCCCCCACAAAAAAGGATGTGGTTGTTGCATATATCTGTATGTCATATGGCGTGTCTACATGAGATGCTTTACTGTGCAGTAGACTGTTCTACCGCCCAATAAAGCATCACTATAGAACCGTGCGCTGAGCTACTATGCAGTAAAATAGGCCAATGTGCAGTAAATTTACTACCTGTATTTACGCACCTTTCCCAACCCTTCTGATCCCCATGTGGCTACCAGGCAGCATCCTCACCAAGTGTACCTGCTGAGAGGGGAAGCCTCTCCTACCTATGTGGGGACTGTACAGCAAATTAGTCTGCTGTGCAGTAAAGTGTCTCGTGTAGACATACCCTTTAACGTGCAAGGTTAGTCCCTTCTCCAGGTTCATTCAGCTATGGGCCTTAGAGCTGAGGTGGTCAGCAAGGGTGCCAATTAACACCAAATGGGAAGGTGGCTTCTCTAGGAACTGTACTAACATCACCAACTCACTTCACATGAACCACTGAAGAGCCTGAATAGGGTCACAGCTGTGGATCCCACTGATCTGGATTTGATATGAGTTAGTGACCAAAAAATAGAAATCTCAGGGGTGTTTCCTAAATCTAGGCTTATCCCTATTAAGGAAAGCTCCTGTGATAAATGATGAGGCGTTCTGAATTTCAAGACAATGAATGTAGTAGAAAACATCAAAATGTATTGTCTCTCAATGCCTCAAAAGTGTAACTAGGGTAGGGTGACCATGGCAGCCACCCTGAGTGCCAACTTTGAAGGAACAGAATAAAATGGCTATTGTCACAGCTGCATCAGTGAGATGGCAACCAGAACTTGTTACTGCCCCCACATGTGGCAGCTGCCCCTGGCACCCAGCCACATTGTTACACCTTTACACAGTAACCATTGAGCCATTATCAAATTTCTAGAAACTATGGAAAATGAGATGAAAGGGATTTTGAGATCATGTAAATAAAAAATGAAGCTTCTCATTATTATTAATTCTTACCAATAAATTAATTATTTGTAAGCACCATCATTGTGCAAGGCACTTCTAACAGACATATACTAGGAGAATTACTCTGTGATCTACCTCCACTGGGAATTTGGGGTCAGTGGGGAAAGCATTGATCAAGTGGCCCACACTATGAGTATTACTTGTGTGTTACCACCAGTCTTTCTGGTCCTATTACATTTTACAACAGGACCAGCATACAGTGTCAACTCTGAAGCCTGTCTCACCCCTAAGACCCTGAGGATGACAGCCTTCTACCAGTAACATTAATAGCACTGGAGAATAGGCAGTGACATCTTCCTAAGTGAGTAGGGGGTAGGGGAATGGGAAGGAGGAAGACCACTATGCTCTTCCCACTAGCCCAGGTTTGCTCTTGCAATGTACGGTGATGAACCCAGTCTCCTCTGTTGTATCTGCCTTCCCAAAACATCTGTTTTGAGCAACATAGCTATCACCATTTTGGAAACCAGAGGTTGGAACCCCTATGAAAGGGAATCCTGACTGATAATAAAATGGTCTCACTTTGCTCCTAGGCAAAAGAACATAAAGGGAAATGATCAGTCCTGATTATGGCCCACACCAAGATGCACTCATCACAAGAGGGAAGGAGGGCCACACATTGACTGATGTCCTGGTCTGGGCCCTGCCATAAGCCTGAGCATCGCCATGGAGGAGCCATCTTCCTCTGTCCATTCCCCATTCCTTTTTAAATATGCCCCCTATAACGAGCAGGGACCTGCCCTCCCTGCCCCCCGGTCTTCCAGTCATTGTTATAGCTATTTTTGATGTATTGACATAACACTTAGAGGCTCCCTCTGTGGCCTTGGTTCCACTGTACTGGTCAGTGCACACATGAGCCAAAAGACAGTCACTATCCTGG